TATATATATATATATATATATATATATATATATATATATATTATTAGAAAGGAAAAGTTCAAAAAAACTCAACAAACTTTTTCATTTTGAATGGTTTAGTCGTTAAACTGTTTTTTTGAATGAAAAAATCATTAAACTTTCTCATTTTGAATGATTAAATCCCTGAACAATTCTTTTGAATGAAAAAAATATTAAACTTTCCCTTGTGAATGAAAAAACCAATAAGCCTTTTCATTTTGATTGATTAAGTCTCTGAGCATTTTTTTAACTAGAAGTGTACTCGTGCAATGCAATGACACACATCTCGATTTTAATATTTTATTTTATTATTTGTCTTTGTCGATATTATAATACGATTTTATGTGTTTTTAAGAAAGTAATAATGATTTTATTTTTGAATAAAATATAAATTTGAAGATATCATAAAAATTTGAAAAAATAAATATCAATGTTAATATCAAATCAACTATTTAAAAGTTCTCATTTTTTATGTAATTTATTTAATTTCTTTTTTTCTTATAATTTAATTTAATTTTGATAACGAAATAATTTATTTTTGGTTTAATAATATAACATTTTATAAGGATAATAGTTAAGCATTCTGTTAGAACTTAATGATTATCCTAATTATATTTTAGATTTTTTATATTTAAAATGAGATGTTTATCCTATATTTGATTATGTTTATCTGCAGTTAGTTATATGAATTTAAATATGAAACTTTAATAAGTTGTACTTAAGCACAATCTACTTGCAATCTTGAGTTTAAGTAATATGCATTAATAAACAATACTTTACGCATAAAAGTGGTTTTTAAAAGTTTTTGTCATATGCTTTATAATATAGTATATATATATATATAGAGAGAGAGAGAGAGAGAGGGAGGGAGAGAGAGAGAGAGAGAGAGGGGGTATGTTATTATACAATCTTTTATATTTGTACAACCAATACAACTCAATCTCAACCGTTCATTTAATTTGATTAATATGTGATTTCATATAAGTTTTGATTGTTTCCTAATATAAAATATTGATCATAATTAATGAACCCTATTTATCTTACATAAATATTCAAATCATAATAAATAAACTCTCATTATTTCTATAAATATTTCAATTAATTGGGTTGCATTGGTTGTACTAATGGACATGGTTGGATTTGAAATATATCATATATATATATATGATTTCATAAAAGAATTAAATGTATAGAGTTTAAACATGATCTTTGACTTTTAATTTATATAGAGAGACGACGTTATCAAAAAAACTCATCACATTTGTACAACGAATACAACACAATTAATTGATATATTTATGAAAATGATGAGAGTTCATTTATTATGATTTGAATATTTATAGAAGTTGACTAAAATTCATTAATTATGATCAATACTTTATATTAGAAAACAATCAAAACTTTTATAAAATGACATATTCATCAAATTAAATGTACGATTTAGATTGAGTTGTATTGGTTTTGCACAAATATAAAGGCTTAGGGGTTGTTTGTTTTTAATAAAAAAGCTCTTAATGTCCTCTTAAGTCTGAATCGGTCAGACATAAGAGGATTCAGTGTGTTTGTTTTTTTTTTTCAATTAAGAGCTTAAAAGCTCTTATTAAGTCTGAAAATTTAAGTGGTTGAGAAACCTCTTATTACCTCTTATTTCAAATCGTCGCCTACCTACTCTGATCTCTTTACGCTCGATTTCTCTAGATCAACTCTTCTGTCTCGATCTCTCATCTCTCAACTCTGTCAACTGTCGATCCATATCAACTCTCGATCTCTCATCTTCAAACTTCAGATTTCAGACGCAAAAAACAAACAGTCTGATTGATTCAGATTTCAGACTTCAGCACCACCTCTTAAAAATCAGAAGTGAATTCAGACTTCAGACTTCAGCACCTCTTAAAAAACAAACGCCACCTTAGATAATAACTCACTTCCCCCCCCCCCCCCCCTCTCTCTCTCTCTCTCCATATATATAAATCATAAAGAATTACAATATTTATTTTTCCAAAAAAACCCCCACATAATATGAATACAAATGTAAAGTATAGAGTTCAAACATAATCTTTGACTTTTCATTTGTTCTTTTAATCTCTTAAATGTCATATTAAATTGAGCAATAAATGCATTTATAATCAAAGGTTCATCAATGTTGATCCATTTGGGCATTTCCTTATAAATGCATGTCTAAGCCCTTCATAATCCATCAACAATATCAACATGACAAAGTCTTTGCTTTTCATCACATTTCTTGCCCTTTTTGTGAATATAGGTAATTTTTCTTAATTCATATTTTTCTTACATACAATTTTCGTCAGTTTTAATAGAGATCTTATATCATTGATTAACATAAAATCCATTTTTTTTAAGTGTATAATATTTATATACGGCAAATGTAACAAATAAACTCACGCACTCTCCTTACCTATGGTGAGGTTTAAACTCCTGATCTCTTAGGAAGCCAAAGTGTACGATACTGTTGGCCAAAACCCTTTTGCATAAAATCCATTATTGTTATTGTAAGATAGTTATGTTGATGATTACTTGACTTCTTGATCATTTAGAGAATCTTATAATTGTTGTTGATATCATATTATACGCGTGTATCCTGAACTTACAGGTATGGGGTTACCGATGGCCAAAAAGGTTTGTGAAGAAGAGCGTTATCTAAATCCTGGATGTGATATACATGACTGTATTGATATTTGCAAGAGGCTACATGGATCTAATTCCCATGCAAAATGCTCGTATTCTTATATGTGTACTTGTACTTTTGATTGCCCGTCAAAGGAACCAAATCCTAGAACTGTTGATGACTCTCCGCTCCCTACTTCTACTGGGAAAATACATAAATTGTAAAATTTAATATCTATAAATGCTTTATTTAAGCATCTTGTTTCTTATGCTCATCGAACTCGATCAATTTTCCCTACTTTTGTGGCAAATATAGTGTTACTCCATAACTGGACGTGTTTGGTCATGTCAAACATGATCCGTACGAAGTTCTGAGATTTACGAGGCCTAGTCCTCTATAAATGTCTTTTTACAGGTTAAGAAGACGATAAATGAAAATTAACAAATTAAAGTTGCTTATAATTAAAAATCCTATTATGGCTCTCAAACCGACCGTCACGAGAAGCAAAAACGTCTATCTACAAGCTAAAAAAAAGACAAAAACAATAATGAAAATAGACCCTTTTTTTTACTTTTGTTTTACTGGGGTTGGACAAGGTATGACCAAACCGTTTACTGAGATTCACAATAATTAGTTCTTGATAAAAAAAAATGTATAACTAATCAGTCTTTGGGTCTGGATCAGACCCAGTTACAATCATGTAACTGGTCGTAATTGTAGCGTTAAAAAAATGTTCCACCATATGCTCCAAATAAGTTTTAGTAACAAACAATGGAAAGAAAAATTAGGGGCCGTTTATTAAACGCTTACCCGGTAAATACTTATCGGGTAATTTTCCTCACCGAATAAACATGACAAGGGCCAAGAATCTTACCCGGTAAGAACGATGATAAAAATGGAAAGTTTTACCCGGTAAGTGAGGGTGACGACTCTTACCCGGATAAACGCTTACCAGGTAAATTGTTGTATATGATACGTTTTGATGTACTATATTCTTACTCAATAAAATAAAATAATAGTATTGACTTCTAGCGTTACCGGATAAACATTTAGGTAAATGACCCTTTAGTGTCATTTGAGCATTTTCAATACTTTTTCTATAAAAATGCGAAAAATTTATATTTAATTTCAATAGTTTCTCTAATTTAAAGAATTCAACATTAATTATACTTCTAAGGAATTAAATACATTTAATACTCTAACAAAATTTCAGCATTGATTATATTTATAAAATATTAAAAACATTTAATACTTTAACAAATTTCCAGCAATTAAATAATAATTTAACAATAAAATATTTCTCTCTCTACAACAACTTTTAATTTTTTTACGGTAATTTAAATTTGTAGATTTTTACCATTTTTTCTACTTTCTCTGGTATTAAAAAAAAGGGAGAGTTGCAATAAAATAGAGCCAATTTTGCTTGACTTCTATTTTAAAGAACGAACTTCTAAACTCATCATCTAAGAATTTGAAATAAAATTTACATTTATTTAAGGGTTTGATTGACCTGTTGACCTAATAAATGATGATAAAGCCAAATAATTTGCCAAATAAGATTCCATATCATGATTAAATTTATAAAAATAAGTCTAAAATGATGACATGTATTAGTTATGACAATGCATAGTTTTCCTATTATTTATGCTAGTGTTCTGTCTCACGTTGTGCGGATATTAAAAAATATATATTTTGTTTTATTTGTTTATTTTCTAAAATATTTTTAAATGCATTATATTGCAAGTTTATATGTAATATTTACTATGATGAAATTACGAGTTCGAAATAATTACTATTGTCAAATTTGGTTTATAAAGATTGGTTTCAAACTTATTTAATTAATATAAAGTTTTATGAAATATGTTGTATAATGAAAATTATCAGTAACAATTCAATTAACTTATCAGTTAATTTACAAAGCATAGTCTTAATTTATTCTTTTATCAAAGGAAAATAGAGCTAAAATGATAAAATCACAAATGAACAAGAGAAGCACCAAAAGCCCAACAATTTTTTAAATTTGGGCTTCACAGCCCAAATACTTTTTTTTTGGGATAAAGCAAAGCCCAAATACTTAACCATCGGGGTCGTTTACTCGGACAATTTTTCTTACCGGATGAACATGACAAGGGTCAAAAATCTTACCCGGTAAGAACAACGATAAAGATGAAGAGTCTTGGTGAGAGTGAGGACTTTTGCCCGAGTAAGCGTTTACCGAGTAAATTGTTGCATACGATACCATTTTGATGTACTACAATCTTATATGGTAAAATAAATTACAATGTTGACTCTTAGTGGTAAACACTTATTGGGTAAGCATTTAGGTAAACAACCCCTAAGATAGGTTCATATCCTGGTATAGATGTCCATCTAACAGTGTAATGGAAATTCTTGAAAGATCAGCTTGAGAATGAAAATTCATTCCCATTTTCATTCCCAACCTGAACCAAATAGCCCCTTATCTTTACACAGTTAAGTCGCAAGCGTTTGTTATCAGATAAATATATGAAGTGCCCCTTAATAGTCACAAATACTGCAATAAAATCGGCTATATAGGACACCAAATATGTCATGTCTTAATAAACTGCTTTATAAGACCAAACAATTATGCATAAGATATAAAGATGTTACAATAGGATGTTAGGACGTATTTGAGCATCCTAATAAGTTTTCTAGGACAATTTTGAAATAAAGTATCATGTTAGCCTTTTTATGAATGCATTGTTTTATAGGACGCTTCTCATATAAAAAAACTAATAGAATATTTTATTTCAAAATTAATCTGTTAGGGTGTTAAAAGAAGGGTCAATCAACTAATTATTAACACATTTACTCATGTATTGGGACATTTAGATATTTGGCTACCTATAAAAGTGTTCTGCTACATGCCATCAGGTTTTAGCAGCAAACCCTTATCGGTTTTTCGATGGGAGGTTAGTCGAAATGCTAGATACACAGACCTTACAAATGGATCCAACTCCGTGCTGCATTCTCCAAAAGGGTATTTTGGGTCATTTAGGTATATAACCTTAAATGAGATTTGCATGCTTCAGTATTATATACTTATATGTTCCATATCTACATTGTTGTATTTGGACATATTATATACGTTAATGACGATCCGTAGTTTCCAACTATTTACAAGCAAAGGCAAGTCATACTCTTTTGTGACGATGACAGCCCCTCCAACAAATCCTCTAAAATAGATAAAATGGAGATTTTGCTTCAACAAATTCTCCATATTGTTCTTTGAATAGAGAAAGTTTAGAGTTTAGAGTATTCTCTAAAACTTGATGTGAGGAGAAACAGATGATTTTCAAAAATTACAAGGAAATGTATAGAGAATGGTGTATGCAATCAGTGAGTTGAATGAGAACGCAATTTGTTGGCTCGTATTGTTGATTGATAATCGTGTAAGATCGTTGGGCACTAAAAAATATTGGTGTAGGAATGAAGTAAAACAATGTTCCTGCAAACTGCAGGCTACAATTGGCTGACATTTACACACTGTGATCATACCAAAGTACGTTAAAAAGTACAGGGAAATCTATAGAGAATGTTGTACGCAATCAATGAGTTGAATGAGAACGCAATTTGTTGGCTACATGGAGCAAATGACCGATATTTGTGGATGGATAACTTTGGAGTAACTTAAGATTAGCTGTGAAATCGCCTGCAAGCAAACGCCTTCTAACAAGAATCAACATTGCACAACAAACCCGAAGCAAAGTCTCCTAAAATTCAGGCCAAAAATGTCAAAAAATAAACCACCAAAACTTGTCATTTAATATTGTGGTGTGATAACAAATTGAATGTACTCAATATTAACAAATTGAAGTCCAGATGGGGAGAATTTAACAATTCTATAAATTGAAAGGAAGTGAAAGCTTGTGAATTAAAGCATTAGATCATCAACTATTGGACACTAACTTACTCGTTTGGTTTGCTAGATTGGAATGGATTTGGAATTGAATTCTATTCCAGTCCCATATTTGGTTTAAGGATTTCCTAGATTTGAAAACCCAGGAATTTATTAAAATCCCACAAACATAAGATTGTGAAATTCCACAGGACTCATTGGTATTTTACGGGATTTCATAAAATTATGTATTCATATTTTAGAACATGTTAAAAATATTTCTTTTGTAATAATCAATTAATAAAAAGGAAATTTAATTATTTTTATCATTTGTTCTTGTGAATTATTTATAAAGAATGGAATTCAATTTCATCCTACAAAACAAACAAATCAAAGATTCCAAATCTTTTCATATCCAAATTCATCCAATTCTTAATCCTTTTCACGAAATCCAAATCCCTTGAAACCATTCCATCAAACCAAACACCCCCTAAGATTTCTTAAATCCCACCTCAATTGAACGAAAACATGATTAAACTTGTACAATTATGAAATCCAAGTTCGCCATTGATAGTATTTGTTGTTGTTGAGATATGTAAGTAAGAGAAACCGTGTAAGTTTAGTACCCAATTATTTGCCAATAGTTAACGACACAACCGTAGTTTCCAGTTCATGAAATCCAACAGAACAGAAGAGAAGAACAAGGGGTGAATTGACTCACTTGAGGACCTTCAGGGTCGCTTAAGAGTGTGTCCCATATGTGAAGACTATCGGCAAAACTGAATTCCTGGGTCAAGAGGAGAGTAATCCATCTAAATGCGTAGAACTGTGGGTTAACCTGTCATTAAAAGAGCAGAACAACTGGGCATTGTTATTGTGTCGATTCAGATAGATTGTGCACAAGATCCTGATAGCCATTGACTAAGGAAGAACCATTTACCAAACGCTTACCGGATAAGCGCTTACCCGCAAGAGATATCACCCTCACTTACCTTATTGTGTAATATTATCCACCATCAAAATGGATTGTTGGTAAGCGTCTTAAACCCGGGAAGCGCTTACCAGGTAAGAGTGGTTTCCCTCACTTACTGGGTAAAGCTCTCGGTCCTTGCCATGCCTCTTACCGGGTAAGAATCTTGGTCCTTATCATATTCAATTAGTGAAATGAGTGAGACTGGTAAGTGTTTACCCAGTAAGTATTTAGTAAACCACCCCTAAATGTCAAGAAGATTGCAATAGCCAGTTACTTTTAGCTAAAAAAGAAATCATCAAGTGTTTCAGGTTGTACTCCCTCCGTCCCAAAATGTGTCTACATTTCTATTTATATTTGTCCCAAAAATAGTGTCAAGTTCCAAATGTAAATAATTAAACTTCCAAATCTACCTTTAATTAATGTATAAATATTTAAGAGTTGATAAGATAGATAAATTAATTAAGAGTAAAGGTGTTATTTGGTTAACTAAAACGTGTGATAATTACGCATGTCTAAAACTGAGTGCCATTTTTATTATGGACACTTATTTTGGAATGGAGGTAGTACTAAGAAGAATTTCATACTTTTGTGGTGATCTCAAGATGTCGCCATAGCTCTTCATCATGTTCCTTCAAGAGCAATGACATCTTTGAGATTGTTGAACGGATGCCAACGACACTATTATCAAGTTGTTGAACAAAATTATCTCGAAACCCACTTAATAAATCAACAAAACAAAAGAATGTGTCTGCTTCAGCATTGACCTGCATCATTCAGATAAAGGAATAAAAAAAGAAGTCAAGCCAAAAGCTACGGGTATCATCATACAAATTGGCTGAAATGGAAGTCAAAACAAGTTGAATATAAGCAGACATTAGCAACTAAACCACAAGCAAACAATTGTGACTGAAACTGAAGTATAAACAAGTGTTTTCGAATGGTTATGTTTGAGTCTTAAGTACTATGATGAAGATATCAATATGCATCTTCAATTTATGTCTTGGAGTTGCGTAAGAGTAATGTTCTATTTTAATCTCATGTGGCATAAGCTTCGACAAATAAGTGCCCGGCTTCTCAATCTACGGATCCTTCAAAAATGATTCTCTTGTAGAGTTCGCTCAAGTTTGTACAAAGATTCATATTCACATATGAAACAACACTGTAAAACCCTTGGTAGAAACATTTTGGCCCTCCATTCATATTTCTCTCAACAGTTTTTACTATTTCCCAAAAGTGATTGTGCATTTAAGCATTAACAATTTGAAAAGAAGCAAGGAAAATGATGTATTCACTTACCACATAATCCTCATCAGGGTCATTTTTGAACACATAGAACAAAGGGGCCAATATTTCATTCATCCCTTGCACATATCTTATACCTGGGTTTAGCTTTGCATATACGATCAGTATACTTCTCAAAGCATCCTGAAAGTAAGAGATTAATTGCTTAGACATAAATCTCATTCATAATTTCCATAAGATAAGATAACACCAAAGGGCCTTTGGCTTAGCAATCTTGGTCTTTGGCCTCCCAGGAAGTCAGGGATTCAAACCTCACCAAATGTGAGGAGGGTGTGTGAGTTCATTTGTTACATTTGCCATATATAAAATATTATATACTTTAAAAAGAATTCCATATGATAAAAAGAGAGGTACGTGCCACTGAAGGTGCACAACTGAGAGTGGTAGACACAATCAGGCACACACAAGCCGATAACAGATGCAAAATTTGTGGGCAATGCTACCTTAATTTTAACTCTCCATTAGTGTACATGCTTATTTTCAGTAGCAGGGTACCTCCAGCAGACCTTTTCACTAATTACCTGATTGGCTTTTGCAGAAGCAGAGTCACCAGAGAAAAAATGCACGTCTGGATGAGTCCGCTTTACATCACGATCTATCTGCTCAATGATCTCAGTGTCCTACGATAGGATTAAGTTATAAAGATTAACTCCTTAATAGCTTTACATCACAAGCATTCATACACAACTAGCTTTAGGCAAATGGAACCACATGAGAAGTGCTGAGATTGAGATAAGCTAATACTGTTCCACCGATATTAAACAAATGAGTTCACAGCCTAACATTCTCACAAAATGGTAGATGTTAACAAGGATCTCCAATTCGACTATAAAGCTAACGGAAACAATCATGATGTGATATTTCTGGCTTGTTATGGAAGTTCAAGCAGCTATCCATTAGGGCTCACGGCGATAAGACATCAATACCTAATTTAATTCTCAGAAGATAACACAGTCGTTTTTTTTACATCAAGACCACTTGAAACTGTTTGATACAAAGACATTCAGAGGAACTAAAATTTAGACATGGAAACACACATCATTCTATGAAATTATACCTGAAAGAACCGGTTCCAAACACTAGTCTTCCCTAGGCTCAAAGGATGCTCTCCATGAGGTATTTCTGACCTTGATAGTAAACCCCTGCCAGCACCTGTTTGTTCACCATTTTGAAGAGATGTACAGTCTTCCAATTTCCTTGTGATTTCTGACTGACTAGCCACATAAACATTTAGGATCCTGAATTTGGTGCAAACACATGCAAGTATGGAAATAGATGCTTCATCTCATACACTCACAAACAATTTTGGCGCATATTTTAAGCACCCATGCAATCCATTTAAATAGAATTTTCTGGGGTTCTTTTTTTGGAAACATATTCAGTTAAAATTTGGATGTACCAAGAAATCTTCATATAATAAATTAACAAAAACTTAATGCTCAGTTTCAGCATCTCTTTTGAAAACATCTTACGTGCATCATGAATGGGAATGGTTGCATTTATGAAAACTTACTGGATTCATCAAAAGTTCCTCTTTAAACTGCTTGTATTGAGACCTCTTCTTAGCCAATTCTGAAGACCAAATCCCCTTATCACTCGGAAGATAAGCTAACAACAGCTGAAAGCATAAAAGAACTACAAATTAAACCTCTCATTCCGCATTGAACAAAGTGCAGAAGAACGTTGAGATACAAATTAAACCCCAAAACTTTTGCCAAGTGTGGTGTACACAGTTCAAGTAACTAGGTGGTGCTTTGTACAACGATCGTTTTGTGATCAACACAAAAGGCAAATCTATCTAATCGTGAATGATGATCTATGACATTTCATAGGAAGGAAAAAGTAGCAACTCTTTCACACCTTCCAGACAGTTGAACGAATGCCAGCACCGTCCGGAATTCCCTGTGAAGCAAGTTGACGCAGTTCTCCTATATTTATAATCTTCCTCGAAAGCTGCATTTTACAGAAGTAAACCGATAGAGAAGAATTATCATCCCTAATTTGTCAATTCACTCTTTCGTTCCCAATTTCAAAACTTAAATTCAAAATTTCAAACACAAGGCATGAATTTTGATACAACTTGAATTTCGATTAGAATACAGTTCAATTAAACCAATAGGAAGAAAATCTTCTGGTTGTATGAGTAAACAAGGTCTGACCTCTTGTAATAGCTTGGCTTGGCGAGAAACGTCTTCAACAGAAGTAATGCCATCATCACTACCGCCGCTAATGGTGAGTGGATCCCCAAATTCCGTCCTCGGAGTTGGTGCGAGTGTATTCGGAGGCTCTGGTCTGATCAAAGTGGGAGGTGGAATCGGAACAGGCGGTTCCATCACCGGCGAAGAATCAGAGGAAGTAACGGAGGAGGATTTGGAAGGGAAAGCGCCAAGGCGATCTTCATGCGACGACGAAGGAGGAGGCGGTGACTTCGATCGTGATTTCGACGGTGGAGATATGATAGGGGCCGGAGTCGGAGAAGACCACAAAGAATTGTTGAGCCAATCAGGAACTCGTTTCTTCACCATTAATTCCGATTCCTTCTGAGCTAGGGTTTCGGTACACGCAGTGTAGGTGTGTTTTGTGTGTGTGTTGTTCTTCCGAAGTGGTTAACAGTGTGCTCTCGTCTTGTGTCATCGTCTTCCTCGTGGAACCATCGAATTGCTTTTCATCTGTATTGTCACGTGACAATTTCTTGTTTCAGGGCCCTTGACATCAACAGTCACGTGACAGCCTCCCCTTGAACAAACAAAGGTTAAAGGTTAGGGAAAATTACAATAAAAACCAATGAACTTTCTTGTTTGGAATGATTAAGTCCTTGAACTTTTTTTTGGAATAAATAAGTCTTTGAACTTTCCAAAACATGTTAAATAAGTCATTGGACAATTTTTTGGCACAAATAAGTCTTTGGACATTCTAAAATATGTTAAATAAGTCCTTAGACATTCCAAAAAATGTTAAATAAGTCCTTGGACAATTTTTGGAACAAATAAGTCCTTGAACAATCCAAAACATGTTAAATAACTTTTTTGAACTTTTATAAAACATGTTGGATACATTCTTATGACTTGTACAACTAGTTAAAATGGTAATTATTTTTTTGTAAATGTAAATACTTTTTTGTTATATTTGTTTAATTGTATAGATCTAAATACTTTTTGGTTCAAAAAATATTTAAGGGCTTAATCGTTCAAAATATGAATGTTCATTGGGTTTTTTTCCGGATTTTTTTCACTATTTTACCACTTTATTTTTTTCAAAAAGTTATTTAACATGTTTTGGATTGTTCAAGGACTTATTTGTTCCAAAATCTGTCCAAGGACTTATTTAACATTTTTTGGAATGTCCAAGAACTTATTTGTTCCAAAAATTGTTCAAGGACTTATTTAACATATTTTGGAATGTTCAAGGACTTATTTAACATGTTTTGGAAAGTCTAAGGACTTATTTGTTCCAAAAAAAAGTTCAAGGACTTAATCATTCCAAACAAGAAAGTTCATTGGTTTTTATTGTACTTTTCCCTAAAGGTTATTATCCATTAAAATATTTCTTTTAGAGTAAATTGCCTTTTTGTCCCTATGGTTTGTTAAAAATTACAAATTTCGTCCCTATGGTTTGTTAAAAATTACAGATTTCGTCCCTATGGTTTGTTAAAAGTTATGGATTTTATCCCTATGGTTTGCAATTCATTTTTATTTTTGTCAATGAGAAACACTACTTTTAAGTATGAAAGACTAAAACAGAAATAAATTGTAAACCATAGGAAGGAGAAAAAACAATAAATTTTAAAATATGAGGATAAAATAGATACTAAATTATAAACCATAAGGATGAATATTATAATTTCAAAACCATAATCACGAAACATAATTTTTTTTTAACAAACCTACAGAGGATAAAAACTTAATTTACTCTTTCTTTTAAGTGTAAGCATAGCTTTAAAAAATATTTACAAAATTACCCTCCATTAATTTGTTACCAATTTCTTAAATGAATCATCCTAATAAAAACTATCAAAAATCATGATGTAACGTAGCAATTTCTTATTAAGAAATTATACCCTATGATTATATTATACTATTCATTGTACGGCAAAAAATACTAAAATAAGAGTAACAATTATGAAAAACCAATTTTTATATTAAAAAATCATACTTACAACCATCATAACTTCTTAATAAGAAGTCCTAAGTGGCATTAAAAATTCCTTGTAATGGATGGTTACAGTTAAGTAACAAGTTGAGGAGTTGCAAATTAAAGACATTAATTAAATTTGAATAAAACCAAACAAACAACAAGTTATTATTAAGATGTTGTTTCTTAACGAAACTATTAAGATGTAAACAAACAATCATTTAGATAAAGATAATTTTCAATTTTAATTAATTGATTTGATAACATTTATATCGTAATAATCATTTTGAAATCATATTTCAGAAACATCCAACGTGCAATTCAATTAATCACGATGTATGTGATTACATTCTCTTGTTTTGGTCCAAAACTATATTTAAGATTTTTAATTTTAATTTTCTTTTCTGAAAATATAACAATTTTTTTTGGTAATATTAACTTCTCAATTTTATAAGTATTTTAAATATTTAATCGTATTTTTTATCAAATTATATGTAATTTCAAATACTGAATTTTCTGGTTAACTAATAAAATCATAAATGCAATCAATATTCAATAATACAATGGCCCTTTTCCTACTTTCTTCGTCTCTTTTCGCTTGCATCTTCCTTACTTTACAGCTCGCTCATTTGCCAATGATATGGGCAATAGATCGCTTCATCATAAAATCTATATATATATATATATATATGAGAGAGAGACTCAAACACGAACACCTTCGATTTACGACAAACGTGAGAACACCTTTATCATAAATGATAATACACGTGAAGGGGCGTGTTTGTGTACGGATGACTTGGCCTGCAATCTAGGTTGCACCAAAGATCGTTTGTGTCTCTGATTTGGTATCATATGTGATAATCAAGAACACCCTTATCACATATGGTAATACACGTAATGGGTCTATAGTTGGCCCATTACCTAGGTCGAGCCAAAGATCGTCTACATTTTTGATTTAGCATCACATGTATATCATATGTGATAGACCATATAATCACATGCAATTGACTATAGTAAAAGGTTTCCCACATTTTCGTAAAATGAAGGTTCTCGTTTAAACCCTTTTATAATAATGTATTATTTTACAGTATGAGACGATGTGTGTGAATATATACAATTTTGTTTCACAATGTGAAACAAAAAAAAAACTAGAAATGGACATTAAAAGTAATCACATTATGAAACAACACTATTTTCACAATATGAAACAACACAAAAATTAATTCTCACGATTCTCAACATTTTCATGGTTCTTATTTTATTAGTCCTCTCTCTCTCTCTCTCTCTCTCTCTCTATATATATATATATATATATACCAAACATGATATAACCATCTACATCATATATAAAAAGGATGTTAGTTTATCTTTAGTCAACAAAAATGACATCGTATGCAATAATTTACCAGGTAAGCGCTAACCATGGTAAAAAAAATTCGTCCTCACTTGCCTAGTAAGACTCTTGGTCTTTGTCTCGCTATTACCAGGTAAGATTATTGGTTTTTACCATATTCATCCGGTAAGGTAATGTGACTTGATAACCACTTAACCGAGTAAGCGTTGATAAACAGCCCCTTACTTATTTGCAAAGCTTATAAGGTAAATCCCACAATGGTCAACTCTATAAAAACCATGCTATAAAAATTTTTCATCAAAAGTTGTAAATAAATTAACTGGGACTATAAACCCATCATCTCAAGCTACCTGTTTCCTGAACACAAAGAATGCAGGTATATACAAAGAGTTACAATTTTGCAACTTTTTCCAGGCTTACCCATGAAAATGAGTTCTTGAACGTATGATATAATTGACATCCACCTCCATCATCACCTTTCTGTAAGTCATAATTCATTAATGACCCTCGAGTAAGGGGAAGTTTTGTTGGTTTTTCGTTAAGTTTTGTATGGATAAAGCTAATAAGCTATCTATGTAGATTAATTTGTTTGTATAGATTATGAAGGTGTTTGTTTGAGAGGGTTTTTTCATAGATAGAAGGAGCGTGTTTTTTATTGGGGGTAGGTTCGGAAAAAACATGGCTTTCTGCATACTTAAAACCAACGTTCTAGCCAAAGACTTAGTTTCACCAAAGCTTCATCCTGGTCGTAAGTACATTCGATCGGAGAAATTTTAGATTCTAAGGTGACTCAGTTGGGTTCAATTCCCAAAAGCTACCTTTAGAATCTTACTGAACAAGCCACTTTCTATATCATTAAGCCACCAACAAACAGTTATCTATAGCCCATGAAGCTACTAACAAACAAGCTCTGAATCAACTTTTTATCAGACCAATATGTTATGTAACGTCTTCCTTCTCAATCTAGCGTTAAATATTGGTTCAAATTTCTTTGCTGTCTGTAAGAAGAAGAATCTGCTTTCAGGAACAATTTTTAATTACCAGAGACTATTGATTATGAAGATGGCAGATTGCAGCCATGGATTTTTGTTGCATACTCTGATATGCGCTGGAGAAGATGTCCCATGGCCCCGAGGGGAAGTTTGATCACCCCGAGTTCTCCTGAAACATAAGCCAGATTAAAATGTTTGAACCAATTTGTCTCCTAGAGACTCATACAGCAATGAAACCAATTCCAAGAATCCTGTAGACTGTTTACATTATTTGTCTGTATAGATTAAGAGAGTTTTTGTTTGGATGAGTTTTTTCATAGATGGAAGGAATGTGCTTTTTAATTAGGAGGCGCAGGTTCGGGGGAAAAAACTGGCTTTCTGCATAAAGTCTCATCTAGAAGCTTACTGGATAAGTCACTTCCTATATCATTAAGCCACTACCAAACAGCCATGTATACCTGACTAGATAAACTATGAATCCCATTAAGCTCGTTAAGCTGCTAACAAACAAACCGTTAATGTCACATTTATAGAGAAGAATTTGTCTTCCATCCCATTAAAGTTGGATCGTTTGTCTTTACAAGTAGTTCAATAAGATTCTTCGAGCATTAATGATATGACCTAAAAACCATTCGATAATGACAAAAGGAATCTGGAAGTTTTGAGGGTGGAAAAGGTTGTACAAGTACTCGTCCAAAAAATTCATTACCTCGTGTCAAAATCTTCTAAATAGACAGAATTATCTAGCAGCAGCATGTTTACTGCAAAGTCAACCACAAAAGTAGCTCGAGCCATGCTAATTTTTTATTCAAGCAAGGCATCATAGATTTGAATAGATGTTTCAATGCATCTAGTCAGGAAGTTGCTCACGTGAATAGTCAATATATTTTGTTGTATATATATGGGCGGGTTCAAATAAGAAGACTAAATATCGTGAAAAGGTGAGAAGAAAGGTTCATATGTGAATAATGGAAAAAATCCGGAAAAAAAAATGTTTTTGAAGATTATTCATATGGGTTCACATGTGAATCTTCAAATGATTTTTTCAATAATTCACATATAAACCTTCCTTCTTATGTTCTTATTTGAACCTTCCACAATAAATGGGGGGGATATCAAATACAAACCTAATATTTGTTACAAACCTACAAACTAATTTTCATGTGTTGTTTCAACAGATGTAATAGAATACATCGTTCACATAGTGTTGTTTCATATATGGAACTTTTGGGACTCTTTTGTCTTTTGCATGTAGAAAAGGAACTTCAATATACGTTACACACAGAAACACACACATATTTTCAAAAGAACTGGACAATTGAAACAATATAATTCATAGCTTAAAATCAAACTCACTGTATGATTTAGATTGGTTTGCACGGATTCGTAACAGATATTGGGTTTGTATTTGATATTTGCTATACATACATATATAGGGTCAGGTTCAGGTGAGAATGAGAGTTATGAGGAGATAGGTAAGAAGGGTTCTCCACCCTTGGATCAATCCTAATTAAAGAGATCCACTAGATCAACACTAATGAGAACCACTAGATCAATTCCTTTCTAACGCTAATTCATGGGTTGTTTTGGGATTAAAAATGATCAAGGGTCCAAATCCCTTCTTACACTTCTCACCTTAACTCCTATTCTCACACGATCCTTCGTTGATATATATATATATATATATATATATAGCAGATATTCGGTTTGTAACTGATTTTTGCTATATAGATATATAATAACTTTGTAAGTTAGCAACTCTACTGCACGAGGGAAGGTCATACTTACATCTTTACCAATAATCTTGGCACGAGCAAGTCCCATTCTTGAAATGATGGAATCGCTTGATGTCGCGTACTACAATATCCCTTCGAGTCATTTTGCTTGCATACTTCATTAAAGAATGACAATCCCCACAAATTTTCAAGTTCTTCACAATCCTAATTACTTCAGGAGTAGTACCAGAAATAAGGGCAAAGGCCAGTGCCAATTTTTCACTATGACTTCCCAATGCATCTGCCTTCTCTTCTTCTTCAATGTTATGAAGCACCCACTCCGTTTCAGGCATATATCCCTGTTCTCGTGCACTTTTAGTAATCTCGTCTAGTTTTAAGTGTATTTCATCTGAACAAGAATGGTCGTGATCACCAGCTACAAAACTAGTGATTTGGCCTCCGATCTCGATATAACTCCACCCTGGATCTTTTACCACACCCGTATTCTTCATTTTGGCTCTTACTCTTTCTACGTCTTGCCATCTGCCTACTCCAGCATAAGCATTTGACAGAAATACATAGCTACCAGGATGCTGAGGTTCAAGCTCTAAAAGCCTTTCTGATGCATATTCCGCCATTTTGATGTTCTTGTGTACTCGACAAGCACTGAAAAGCGCCCCCCAAATGACAAAATCAGGATCTATTGGCATGTTTTTGATGAATCCTAAAGCTTCATTGAGACGACCCGCTCTGCCATAAAGATCAACCATTATTGCGTAATGCTTCATGGTGGGTGCAATGGAATAGTCATACTTCATTTTATCAAAGAAATGAAGCCCCTGATCCACATCCCCAGCATGCAAACACGCAGTTGTGATAGCAAGAAAAACGACCCCATCTGGCTTGATTCCTGCAGAAAAGGAAGTGCTTTTTAACATGTTTCTTCAGAATAACTTAATATCAAAAAGGAAATTTCTGAAACAAATTTCAAACCTGTCGACCTCATTTTGTTGAAATACTGAAGAGCCTTTTCAAGATATCCATTAATCGCACAACCCCATATCATAACGCTCCAAGTACGAAGGTCCTTCTCTTCTCCCATATCAAATACACTACTTGCTTTCTCAATGGATCCACATTTTGCATACATGTCTACCAAAGCAGCCATGATTCCTCGTTTCAAAGTGAAGCCATTGCTCGAGATATAGTCATGTATTCTCACTCCTGTCTCAAGAGCTCCAGCTTTTGCACAAGCCAAAAGTGCAGAAACAACAGTCTGATCATTAGGCTTCACACCCTCCTCCAACATTTCAAAAAACATCGATAGTGCCTTTTCATGCTGCCCATTTTGTGAAAATCCATGAATCATTGTAGTCCAAGAAACCACATCCTTTTCTGTTACAGAATGCCAAAGCTCCATAGCTCTGTAGACCTCTCCAGCTTTCATCAGTCCATTAAGCAAAGTACTCCAAGTCGAACCATATTTCTCCGGCATTCCCTCAAACAATTCCATGGCCTTACCCCATCTCCCCACTTTACAGTACCCATTAATCAAAACGTTCCATAACAAAGTACTTTTTGCCTCATTCCCCCATTCAGAACTTTCATCAAACAGTTGTGACGCACTGTCCAATAAACCAACTTTGGCATACATATCCACCAAATAAAGTAAAACAAGCCGGTCATATAATAAACCCAACTTTAAAATCTCAGTATGAATCTCCATACCAAGCCAGCCCTCTTGTAATGCAGTGGTAGATTTCAAAACAAATGGAAAAGTTAAACTATTGGGTCGAATATTCGACCTCAACATGACAAGAAAGTAAGAAATTGAGCTCATATAGTAAGAGTTATCAGCAAGTGCACGGATTAATGAGTTAAAAAGAAACAAATTTGGGTTTTTCGAGTGGCGGAAAATGGAGAGAGCATGATTGATGAAGTTCTTTTGAAAAGAAGAGGAAGAAATAAGCTGGGTTACGATTCGAGTATTTGAAAACTGCTGTTGCAGGATGATTTGGGCGTGGATTTGTTGGAGTTGTTTGATGGTCTTGGAGGCATGAATTAGAGAGATAAAGTCGGCTTCATCAGTGAATAGCGGAGTGAAAGAAGCTTTTTTGGCGGGAGATCGTTTCTTCGTGTTTGGAAACAGACGACGAAGGGCTTTCATTCTATTGTTTCCAGCTATTCATTTTGTAACAGATTGACACCATAGAAGCATTGAGCATATAAACATGTTCCATTCAAGTCAATAATCAATCTCAAAACTCACGTCTCAACTCTCAATTCTGCAGCAGAATGATTAGAGATTTTCTATGAATTGAATAACCGGTTATGATCAAAATTTGTTACTTCACACATGTGTTCTTCAATCAATTCCTGGATTTTTTAACTATTATAGAATGACAATGAACGATTTACTGAAGTCTCAACTCTCAAGAACCGATTTAACCTATACTAAACCTAGAAATATCTTCGATTCAACTTACCGAGAGTCCAAGGGCGGGCATGAGTGCGTGGCCGAGGCAGACCGCAGAAGAAGAAGAGAAGCAACAGATCGCCGCCGAGTGCGGACGGAGGCAAATGCGGGAAGCCGGGAACCGGCGAATCAGTCGATTTGGAAAAGGGCTGAGGTGGGCCTTGGACCGGAGAATCAGGGCTACACACAGGACACAACATTGATTTGGGCTATAATTAGGGGGGTGTCCAATTGTCCGTCGAGCGGGTGGGTCGGGTCGAGTGAACAAACTAAGGAGGCGATTAGGATTGCTTATTTGAAACAAATTATATTTTTTTTTATAAAAGCACTTATTAACTTGTTATAAGTTAGAATGATTTAACTTTTTCAAAAACTTCTTATTACCGATTTGGCACCGATGTTGTTTATCCAAACACTCAAAAATGCTTATTACTAGTACCACACCGGAACAAGTAAATAGGTTGTTTTTATAAGCAATCCCAAACACCCCCTAAAAGTCGGATCATATTTTGGTTATGGAAACCAAGTCCTGATTTATAGGTTTCGTATTTTGGATTGTTTCGGGTTTGGGTGGGTCAGGTTTCGAGTTGAAGTCGGTCGAGGTCATGTATAGTTATTATGCAAAAGATATATATTCAATTTAATTTGAGGATGAATGCAATAAATTGAGATGATTGATGACTTGATAGTAGGTTTAGAACTTAGAAAAGAGTCCGACCAACTAAGATTTAAGATTTTCAAAAGATAATTAGATATATATATATATAAAATATTCAAATATATATGTTGTATATAACGGGTCGGATTGTCAAAAATCAAACCCAACCCAAATCCAAATATCTCCCAAAAATCAGGTTCCGGATTTTCGGATTTTGGGGGTGCACGAACACTTTATTTTTGGATCTAGTCTGGATTTTAGACCTTTTGAGATTTGCATACCCCTGACTATTGATAATACCCCAAAACCACCATGAAGACTAATTACTTTTATAATTTATTTGTAATATTGAATTTTAATTAATATGAATTGATAAACAGTACTTCACGCATAAGAAATGATTTTTAAGAATTTTTGTCAAATGCTTTATAATATAGTATAGATAAGTTTAATAACAAAGTTATTTATTTTTTTAACAATACAATTTAAAAAATATTAATTAATTTTTTTTAACAATACAATTTAAAAAATAATAATTAATTATTTTGTTAGAACTCAATTATCATCCTAATTATATTATAGATTATAGATGTTTATCTATATTTGATTATGTTTATATGTAATTAGTTACACGAATTCAAATATGAAACTTTAATAAATTATACTTACACATAATATTGAATTTTAAGTACTTTGTATAAATAAACAGTACTTCATATATAAAAAATGATTTTTAAAAGTTTTTATTAAATGTTTTATAATATAGTATAAATTAATAAAAAACAAAAATAACAATAAGTTATATGAAAATTATAATTTCTAAAACACAAAAAATTAAAATATTATGAACAAACATAAAAATAAAAATTATTAATAAATTAAAATTATTAACAAACATAAGTACGAAAATCGTAATTTAGTCTTGACAAAGTTACGAAGTTTACATATATAATTGTCTTTGTGATATGACGAAAATACAATTAACAACCCACTTCAAATAGAAAGCTTGTTCATCCCCTTCCCCCAAAATCTAAATCCCTAAATCGAGGAAACAGTAAACTGATTTCGGGTTCACACCACCTCGAATCAATTGGAGATAACGTTCAAATCGAAGTCTCGAAGAAATTCTGTATCTATAATTGCACGAATCAGTAACAATGGTCTTTAACCCCTAAAATTTCCCTTATTTCTTCAGGAGGATGGTGAGGTGGGTTCACGATGATCTACTACTACTCTTGATCAATTGTCCCACGCACCTTCAAAATCTATCATCATCACCATCATCAATTACTTCACTTATTGATGGAATCGAAGAAGAAAGCCGTAGAAGAAAAAACCAAGAATCGCGAGGAGAAAGTGAAGATCGTTCAATGGGAAGATTTTCAACAAGAGCTTGCTCGTCTTTCGAGTCTATCGTCTGCCCTTAGCGAAGCTAATCAGAAGAAGTCTTTGATCCAAGAGAAGCTTAACTCCCATTTACAGGTAGGATAAACTTTTAGCCTCATTTGTGTAATACCCTGTTTGGTTTATGGAAAATGAGGAAAGGTACTGTGTCGTCGATCATGATAGATTTTTGATTAGTGGAGGCACATCTATTATGAGAAATTGACATCCTAGGATATCAAAGGACATCAAAGAAGTATTTTGCTGGAATTGATGACTTCCATTCTAGAGATAGCATATCAAGGAAGAAAGAGAAACGAGCCTGAATTTCAAAAATTTGAAGCTGTTTTCAGAGGGATCTTATCTCAATTTCTGGACATATAGTTGATTTTCCATGCTTGATTATCTAGTTATGTTTCAATGTCCTCTGACATACAATTGACTTCCTAAACTATCAATTTGACATTGTTCCATTGCCCTTCTGGGTTCCTTGGTATTGGTATACATGAGGTTGTTCTAATTAATTACTTGAAATGAAATTCTAGCATTTTTTGTGAGAAAAGAAGGTGAAGATTCTCCTTGGTTCTTGGTCACCAGGTGTTGATACTTTAATTCTTTGTTGTTTAAGTTTTGCTTGTGAATAGAACTTGGTTTAGAATTTAGGAGAGTTGGTTGCTTGCTTTAGTTCATATTTTATGTTTGGATGTAGAGAAAATCAGAACAAGAAATGAAATATGCTAATATCGTGCTGGAAATATGTACATAATTTAAGTTAAGTTGTATACCTAGAATTTGGGGTTCCACCTTTGTTAATTACTACATTGGAGACCTATTGATCCACCAGGACCTCCTTAACTGTAACATGGTTATATTTATCTATAGGTTTTAAGTTAATTACTGCACTAGCAATCTCATCTATCATTCTCTGAGAATCTGCATATAATATGAGGATGAAGTAACTTCATTTTCTTACCAGAACTGATAGCAGGGCTCAACTTCTCTATATAGTTATGTAAGCGTTTATTGAGTTAATTGCTGCATCTTTCATTCATGAACAAAAGAGTGACAACACAATTACAATCACATTGATTTACTAGCGATTTGTGCTATTTGTTTGACCAATAGTCGCATGCTAAATGATTTTGTTTCCTTGTTTAAGTATATTGGCATTAATTGATGCGAAATGTTTAACAGTTAGAAGCAGAGTCATTAAGTCGGTCAAACAAACTAGATGAGATGCGGGAAAATTTGGAAGCTCGAAAATTAGTTATGGGAAACATGTCAATGCGTTCAAAAGTTGTACAAGAAAAGGCTAAAAAACAGGAGGAGCAACTTAACTCTGAGATTAGATCTCTGCTCATGGCTGGAACCTCTCTCTCCGTAGCTAGCAGGAGCTTGCAGGTAATTAAGCTTTATATTAGTTGTAGAGATGCTTATCCCCCCCCCCCCAAATTTTTAGCCAACAACCTGTATTCATGTATCTATGAATGTTTTAGTCTTCTTAAATATAGGCAGCACCCTAGGAATCACATTTTTGTAAGTTTTCATTGTTACTTTCCTTAACTTTTTCCTAAAAGTGAAGGACATATATGTGTCTGATGCAGGAAGCAAATAATTCATTGGCTGGAGAAAGAGGGTATGGTCATCTACGGAATTTGCAGAAGTTGCTGAGGATGAGACAACAGTTCATGGTGTCACAAATTTCATTGCTTTATCCTGTGAAGGTCGTGACTGGGCTCACGTGTGAGCAAGAACTTGAATCATTTTCCGGAAGCAGTAAATCAGGTAATTGTTTTCATTGGTATGCACTATGCCTAAAGTATCCTTAGGTTTTTATTAAGTTGCTGCCATATTGTTTAGACATGATAAAGAACATTCTAAATCAGTGTTTATATTTTTTGGTGTATCAGAGAAGACAATTGGAATATCAGGTCAATTATTTTCAAGAGTTGATTCTCCTTTTATTTTGACTTGGAAATTTCCTTTGGCGTTAATGATATTCTCTATGTTTATGATGTATCTCGAAGTCTACATGCATACATGAACATATGTGTGTATGTATATATGTGTAGTGTAACCGTCCTAACGTTCAATATGAACCAAGTGATCCTCCAGAAAAGCATATCTCATAATTGGAAAAGAAAATTATGTTCCTTTATTTGTTCCTTATTCTTATCAAACCATGATCCAGGTAAACCCTGAATCATAAATGTTTATCTGATTTTTATCCTGAGATCGTATATAATGAGAGGCGATGCTCAGTTGATGATGAGATTTTTCAAGTGGACTAAATGAGGGAGTAAGTCAGAAAGGTCTTTGGGGTTATGATAAATTACTTGCTTGATGTATCTGGTTTTCCTGTCTTAGCTTGTGTCTTGTCCTCTTCTCTGGATTTTGCAATTTTTGGCCTTTTACAAGTCATCAGGTCTGTTTTTCAGTTTTGGGGGCAAATGCCTATAGCAACCACCAAATGCACCATTTTTTTTTTTTGTATAGAAAAAGAGTAAATCTATGATAAGTTGTCAACGACTAAAGTTACCATCAAACGGACTATTTATTTCCTTTTTTGAAGAGATGGATTATGAAAGAGAGAGAGAGAGAGAGAGAATGTGCATGCATTAATTGACATCTTTGTTGACTCTCTTTTATAAACAGTATAGTGGTGAGTTAACTGTTAAACAGTGATTAGATTGTTGCCATATTTGCATGTAGAGAAACATTACGAGTTAATGCATTTCTCTCCCTCTCTTGATAATTATACTCCCCTATGGTCACTTTGATGTTAACCATGGTGGTTCTTGCTATATAATATGCTTACATCAATAGGACTTATACAGTTAACTAAACATCTAATGGTAATCTTCTGTGGGGTTCTCATGTTATTGGTGTTTAAACATATTCATTTTCTAATATACACATACGCATCGTTTGTCACACTGTTTTCTATATGTTATTTTTCTTTAATAGTGCGCATAACGACATATGTCTAGTTTAATACCCCTATATATGTGAAAAATAACCACTTCTGACACGTAAACAGATGATTCTGTTTTGTGTTTAATGTTTAAAGTAAGCTTTAAAAGAGCTCTCACAACCGATGTTTCATGCCTTTTAGAAGTCAGAATGGTTGCATTTTATATACACACGTGCACACACACGTTAGTTGGAGTAGCATGTGAAACATTACTTATGATGAGCATTGCACAAGGGGGTCCCAAATCACAGCACATAGGGCTGACAGGGTGGATCAATCATAAAGATTATATCCATTGTGAGGGCGACCTCAAAAGCTATCCCCCAAATCCTCACACATGTATATTGATGCGGCTAGATATTGTATTTCTACAACACTAAGTGGTAACTCATGCAAGTATACATTGTCAACAGTCAACACTACCGCATTTCAAGTAATAAAATGGTAAGAACCAAGTAAAGTGAAATGATAATCTAGATTTAAAAAGTTCCAGCCATCAGATGTGCAAGGAATCTTCAAAATGTGAACTTCAAGCCACCAATAATTGTCTTCTAGCATAGTCACTTGGTCTCTACATTTCAAGCTCTTATTTCCCTGCTCAATGCTGTAGTGCAGGTCACAGCATAAACAGCCTCTACCCAATGCTGTAGCACAGGTCACATCACAAACAAGATTGTCAAAAAGATGAAATTAGCACTCCATAGCCTTATTATTGATTAATCACAAGCTTAGCTCCATAAAGTAAGAAATGGGAAATAAGATAACAAAAGACTCAAATTTGGGATATAAAAGGAAAGTAAGATAGCTAAAAGGGAAAAAATGAGTGTTATAACATTGGTGGAAACATTGCATATCATATATACATACAGATACTTTATTATTGTTGAAACCTTCCGAATGTATGAACTTATAAATGTTTATGGCTCTGGCAGGGAATCCTTCTGGATTGAAACCTCTGGATGCAGGATCTTTGACTATTTCAGGTCTTCAACTCACTGTGCTCCCTTTTAAGAAGTTGAGTTTTTTCACCGATAAGAAGGAAGTCCAGAGATCAGCAACTGCCCTCGGTTATGTTGCACATGTATGTTTTCAATCTCTACTTTCACATATTGTTCTTCATGGCAGTCCAAATTATCGAATAAATATGAATACTAGCATATCTGTGTTTCTTTAAAAGTGAACGAGAAAGAATTGGAATTAGAGAATGTTTGTCTAACAGGACTCTTATGGGTTACATTGAGCATCCTAAATGAAAGGCAGATTCATGTTTTGCAGGCTGTTTCACTCATTGCTTTCTATTTAGAAATTCCTTTGCGATACCCATTACGATTAGGAGGTTCTCGTACATACATATGTGATTATGCTCCCTCAGTGGAGTCCACATCATCTGATTTTACGTCTATCTCATTACCTTCCTCAAGTTCAAAGCCGATGGAATTTCCCCTATTCTTGGAAGGGCAGGACACCACAAGATCAGCTTATGCAGTATTTCTATTAAACAAGGTTTGATTACTTATTTACTTTCTTTTTGCAATCTCTCTTAAGAATTTGATCATTGCTCGATATACAGATTACATTAGGTTTCAAAATACTATGGGTTTTCTTTATTATTCACTGATGATAATGATTCCACATTTACATAATATATTACAAAAGGAAATACTTCCTGCTTCCCAAAATAAGTGTCCATATTTCTATTTTAGTTTGTCGTAAAATAATGCCCACATTTTTATTTTGGTTTATCCCAAAATAAGTGTCTACTTTTCATTTCTGCCCTTAATTACAAGAGAGCAAATTCTCTCTATTATTAAGGGTAAAATTGTCATTTAGGTAATTAAAAAGTGTAATAGTTATACATTTTTAAAACTGTGTGAACATTTATTTGGGGCGAAGAGTTTTGAGCTGCTTATGAGCTCTAAGCTTTTAAATTCATGATCTTTGCACATCTGATAGTTTTATATGTGACTTTTTTCTTCTTAACAAGATGCATAATTCTTATACACATGCTTGTATATGATGCATGGAAAAGACGAGCTTCTAAATTCACGATCTTTGCGTATTTCTTCTTAGTTTTATCAGTGATTTTTATCTTGTTAACAAGATATATGATGCTCATAAGGCAACATGCCATCTAAAGCAAGATACTTATTTTTCTAAACAGATTGTACTTGGCTTTTTGTTACAAATAGACAACATTCTTAAAAGAATGCAAAAACAAAAAGCTACAAATTATAAGTGCAAAGGGATTGTAGACAAATTATGTGTTATGTCCCACATCGGCGGACTTGGATAACTTCTCCTCAATATATGCAGGAACCTCGCCTTCTCTTAAGGGCTCTTTTGTAGAGTAATCTAATGGGGTTCTACATATTCTCGCATGGTATCAGAACTAGGATCTACCACTCTAGGGACTTAACACTCTTGGGCAATTTGTACCCGTCTAGCCCCCTCTTGACCCACTAGGACGACCTGCTTCTGTCTACCCCCATTGGACAGGGCATGTTGGAGTCTCACGTTGGTTAGACTTGGACTGTTTCTCCTCGGTATATGTTGGAACCTCCATTCTCTCCTCATGAGCTCTTTTGAAGAGTAATTTAACGGGTTTCAGAGACGGGCCTAGAAATTTTTTCAAGTGTTGGCACCATTTGACTATAAGAAACAAGTTTAAGAATATTTTTCACAAAATCAGTTGGTTAGTTCATTGTTTTTCATATGTGAGGTCCTGGTTTTCAAGTCTTTTATTGCAATTTTTTTCCGAAACATTGTATATCTGAAATTAAAAGCTAAAAACTAAGAAAAATGCCACTAACGGGATTCAAACTCGAGTCTGGGGTGGAAGAACCAACTCTACCAAATGAAACTTGTGTCTTTATTGTAGTTTCAAAATATACATGGTGACACACAACAAATTGATACGGCGATATTTTTCACGACCTAATAATATTTTACACTACGACGGAGGAACGAAGCGACCACATGCACCACCTGGGTCCATCCCTGCGGGGTTCCATGTATTCTTCACAATATAATCCTTTGTACTTGACATTTTAGTCCAAGCCCACCCCTTTGCAAATTACATGTTTTTGTAACATCTTTGCAAGGACGATTGACGTTCCAAATCTCTCGTTGTGTGTGTCTGTGTGTGTTTTGGTCTGATGTTGAAGTTTTCTTGAATCATTCATGGGTGTGTAGGATTTGGAGCAATTGTTGAACTTCATCGGTGTTGAAAGTTTAGGGCCACGGCACGTTCTGGCTAATCTGAAGGAACTGCTAAACAACATCCTTTCTCAAGAATACATCAACTCATAACCAGATCTTCGATTTCTTCTGTAAGTTTATTGTATATGGTTTTCTTTGTATTCTTACACGGTGCTTGTTTTTCCCCCATGGAGCGCCTTCGGATGTTTGAATTCCTGTGCTACTTAACTTGAATCGTTAACGAACACGATGTTTTTGAAATTGCAAACTTGAAAACCGTAGTTAGGAAATGTAGGTCAAATTCGATAAGACCATTAGGAGGGTTTAGTGATATTTATACGAGGATTGTCTTGAATAAACGTTCTGAATTTAGAAGTCATTGTGTTATTTTAATAGACGAAGGATCATGTGAGAATATGAGTTAAACTGAGAAGTGTAAGAAAAGATCTGGATCCTTGATCACTTTTAATCTCAACCTCCACCTCATGAATTGCGCTTATCATAGAATTGATCAGATGCATCATGGTGCAACACATTAGTGCTGATCTTCTATTAAGATTGATCCAAGAATGAATATCCCTTCTTATCCATCTCATCGTAACTTTCATTCTCACCAGAATGCAACCCTACTGTAATATATATATATATATATATATATATATATATATAAAAGCATGTACATCATAAAAATGTTATAGAATGCACTTTTCTCATGATTAAATTATTTTGTGTAAGATATATGAACAAATATTACTAAAATCTGTGTTGCATCACACTGTGTTCTCGAATTTGAGACCAAAAAAAAGAAAGGGATTGAAAAGAAAGGACTCAGAGTTTGAGAAGAAAAGGAAAAAAGGGATGGGAGAGAAAGTAGAGGAAATAAATTTTGTATTTGTATTTTTGACGGACAAAGAAAGAAATTAATTTATGTTCTTGAATAGGAGAGAGAGGAAAAAACAGATGTTTTTATAAATATACTGTTATTTATTTTTCAGTAGGCTGTAATTGATGGGTAGATAGTGTGTAATTTTATTATTATTTATAATAATTATTGTTTCTTTCCGATCCTTTCCTCACACATTTGGAAGGAAAATCAACATTATTTCCCCTCATTTTGTTTTCTTTTTTCTCCCTAAAAAAAACTTAAGAACACGATATTTTTTCCTCCCTATTTTCCTTCCTTTTCATTTGTAAAAAAAAACTTGAGAACCCGTTGTTTTTTTTTTGAAGTATATAATATTTATACACAGTAAATAGAATAAATAAACTTACACCTCTCCACATTTGATAAGGTTTAAATCCGTGACTTTATAGAAGGTTAAAAATTCACATACCAACCGGCCAAAGTCCCCTTGGTAAAAACCCATTGTTGAGTGACGGAGTGAGAGCATATCCAACATATTTTCAGTTTCTCTAAAATGGAAAAAACAAAATTCAAAATTTCCCAAAAGAAAGTTACATTGAATTCTTTCGGATTTTTTATTTTGGATCTTATATTATTAAAATATTTTCTACATATAATAAAATCTATCCTGTTTATTTTAAATCAAGATTTTTTACAAGTGGAAATATAAAAAAAATTATTTCTGGTAATCTTTTGGAGTTCTTTAAGTTTGGAGAATTTTACTATCTTTCTTGCTTTCTCCATTTTGTTGAATCTTTTGGAGAAAAAAAATCGATCAAAACCTCTATTTTCTCCATTTTGTTTGTTTTTATTTTAAAAAACCTCTATTTTCTCCATTTTGTTTGTTTTTATTTAAAACATCACCTTAATTGTTTTTTAAAATTAACATTTAAGATGATGTCTTTTAAAAACTAACTGTAACCGTACAAATTTTGTAGCATACATATCAATTTAGGGTGCAATAGTCCAAATACTATTTACGTTATAAATCATGAACTAGTTGCGTGAACGACATATGGAGAAATGATTAACAAACTACTTTCGAGGTGGAATACTTCTGCGACAAACGACCCAATCCTCAACTAGGAGCAACATTTCCCCGATTATGGTTTCTACCAATTTTCATGGCAGAATCTAGATACATCATACATTGACTAATCACCCACTTTATGATTTTGTTTCTAAACCGTACAACTCAGCTAACACCCCAACTTTTTAGCTGGTCTACATAAATGAATTTCTTTTTCAAGGTTTTTACCAAAAATACTTCAAATCCGGATCCTCCATTCTTTGGGGGCCAATTCTTTGGAGTAGTGGTCCTTATATATCGTATTAACAATCGAAATTACGGGGGGATCTCTTTCCAAGAACGTTACAACATCCTTCTCTATATGATCAATAAACTCTTGGCAACTTTGCAAATTCAGTAATTAGGCCCATTTCTGACATTTTTTAGGCCCTGGGCGAACATAAAAACAGGGCCCCCACTGCAAGAAACAAGGCTTTTAGCAACGACTTTTGTTGTCGCTAAAAGTCCGTTTATCATTAGAAAGAATATATAACAACAACATGTCATCGTTATAACTTATGAAACATGTCATCGCTAAAAGGCGCATCGTCAAACCTTCAGTAATAAATGTTTTTCATTAGTATAAAATTGAGTACAAGAAATGTTAATAATTTACTRAGTAAAAAAATCTTATTTATCTATATTATAGATATATAAGAGAGTACTTAAATTTACGTACTTCTTATTATGTAATTTTAAACCAAGAGTATAGAAACTATGGTTGATAAATTTTTATAAAAAGTAAGAAATTTTTACTTTATAACAAAAAATATGTGTTATTTTGATACAAAAAGAGATTTCGTGTTAATGAAATAATCATGAGGTCAATGAGAGATCAATAATAAATAAGATTATCAAGGTTTTCTAGACAAATAGACAAATGAAAATTAATAAGAATATGAAAGAAAAGATGATCCATTGAGATCTAGTAAAAATAAATAATGAATTAAACATATAATATGCAAGTTCAACAAATGATTGTTTGAACACTTAAATAGAATTTTGTGGTGTGGTGGAATCCCAATGAAAGATACATAAGTCAAACAATTGATGAAAATATTTAAATTATATTTTTTTTTTTTTTTTTTGCTCAACTAAAATAAAATGTTAATATTAAAAGTTTATGGAACATGACATATATAAGAGACATTACTAAATACATCTAGTAGAAAAAAATTATTGATTAATCACAAGACCATGAAACACGCCATAAATCATAAGAACAATAGATTAATTAAAAAAAAAGTAAAATATTTTATCTAGAAGCAAAAATAGATAACAATAGTCAACAAAAACAATTAGAACAACATAACCAATAGTCAATAAAAATAGAAATTGATAAAAATATCTAACAAAAATATATAGCAATAGCAAGCACATGATCTTAACGTTGAATTATTGAAACACGAAAATAGTCAAACATATAGAGATAGCAATAGCCAATATCATTGGACTTTGTTGGAGATAAAAAAAATTTTATTGGGACAATAAACAATAGCATATAATGAATGATCAATTAATTTTTTTTATTTTCTTCTCTAATGTAATTAGTTGATATATTTTTGGGCCCTTATTACCTACTAAATTATTTTTGTCTCTTATTATATGATACAATTTTTTGGTTTCTTTAATTTATTAAATTATTTTAGACTACTATATACTTTAAGGTAAAAATTTGGGCCCCTTATATTTTTGGGCCCTGGGCGTGCGCTCGTGCCGCCCTCCCCCAGGGACGGCCCTGTCAGTAATCACCGTTCATTTCCTAAATGCAATTATCTATACTATCTTATAATGCATTTGGCTAAAACTCTTAAACTCTTAATCTCTTAAACTCTTAAAAACAACCTTTATTGCCAATAGTACAATTCATTAAAGCGATCCCCAAACCCAACTTCTTAACGCATTCATCGGCCCTAAACCCAACTTCTTAACGTTTTCATCGGCTCCAACAGACTAAGATTGAGATGAAATCGAATCCAACAAACTCTCCCCTATCGATTTCAAGATTTTGATAATGATATCGACTCACTCTCCCCTATCGATTTCATCGGTTCCAGATTTCATCGCCATCCCTAAAACAAATTTGATCGTCATTTTCTTCAATATTGCTTCCATCGTCTTCTTCAATCTTCCAGGTAAACGTTTAGGGTTCTGTTAGCTTAGGGTGTTCTCGAATCTTCTTCGAAATCTGACCTGTGTTCTCGAATCTTTTTGTAGGTTCTTCGAAATATGATATGTCTTCCATCGTCTTCTTCAACGTTCAATCCATCTCCAGGTAATTATTTGGTTTCTTTTTACCATTCATGTACAACTCAGAAATCAAAATTTTCAAATACCCATTAGGGTTTATGGAGTCAAGATTGGGCAAAAGCTCATGAACCCAGAAAGAGGACTCTTTATTTGTTATCTTTTATTATCTTTTATTTGATGGAGTCAAGATTGGGTCCATCCAGATCAACTTTCATGGACGTCATTGTCATTTTCTTTAGGGTTTTTTTGATAATGATGAGTTAGCAACTCAAACTGGCAAAACTAAAAAGAGAACATTTGTAATTGAATGCAATTGTAGTAACTGATTAGGCCTTTCTTTTTAGTGGTAATATCACTTGTAGTTCTGATACTGCCTCTGGTTTTCCTTGTATTTTGTATTTCTTGTTAGAATTTGGGATTTGCAGGGTTTA